CACCACAAACTCGAACACAAAAACACACACGATCGGGATATTAAAAAATTGGAAAACTACACAGAAAATAAACCAAACCGGAAATATACCTTGTTAATCGTTCGTGACGATCTCACCAAACCTATTAAACATGAGAAAAAAAGTAAGATTAAATAAACGATTATAACATAATATCTAGCCCCTGAAATCAATATCAGAATCTCTCTGCAACAAACGATAGTCACCATACACTCAAGAACACCCCCTCTAATCAAATACAAATAATAAGAACCAAACTCGATTTCACAATCGCCATCGCCGCCATGCCTAGGTCATCTTTCTGCATCGTAATTATTTTTATAGTTTTGCTTGTAACGGCAAAAAAAAAAATAGGGTTATCAATTGTATGTTTCGGAACAGGTTTTGCTAGGGTTTTATTTGGGGTATTTTGGTAAAAAAAAAAACGATGGCAAGGGAGGTAAATACAGCGATTTCATTAAGGGTACTATGGTTATTCTAAGTCTGAAACTCGCTGTAGAACCACCGCGTAGAATTTTTCACCTCACAATTATATATATAGATGTATATATTCTCAATTGGTTGGTCTTTCTTTTACTTTTTTGTTAAATACTATATGGTTTGATTCTTACGAGTATAGACGATTATGTGGTGGGTGGTGTGGATTTGATAGCAGTGATTAAAGATTTTGTTTCATCTTCGTCAATATCGAATAGCTTCCTTCATATTTAGCAATTTATGTTCTGTCCTATACCGACTAATTTGATATCTTAAGTTGGACATTTGTTCTTTTTTGGCGAAGCACGAAATGGATGGCAATGTTCAAGACTTAAAACTACCAAAACCCTAATATTATGTCATCTCAAATTTCAGGTTCAAGCAAAAGAAAGTTGAACAAAATCTTATCTATAAATTGGTCATATAATCTAGCCATGGCAGGGAACCGAAGTCTAGACCATGGAGACATTTCACACAATTTGTAGTGGTCGTGATAATTGCCCTTATTTAGATCACGTCCAACGGGAAAGAAGTGAATTTTAACATGTCAGACAGGCTTGACGTGTTATAGAAATAGGTCGTAAAACGGTTTGTACTTCCCACAACGGTAGTTGTCCGGAGGTTCTATTCTTGATCCGCTGGTTAAAAGAAATATTCTCTGTCTTTTCAAAAGAATTGAAAACCCCTATTTATAGTAAAATCCTAGGAGCTAACCCTGATTAAATCCTGACCATGGTTGAGTTTAGCCATCTTCATAAGTTGGGCCTCTCAATGCTAATGCTGATGGGCCGGTTTGTTGTAAGTGGGCCGTAGGCCCATGTCCAACACCTCCACCAAAACCTTTAGTCAATTCCCAGTTCTAAGTGGAAATGCTCTCCATAGATTAAAGATCAATCAAGAAGACTTTACTTTGCGAAGCAATTACTCTAGTGGAAATGCTCTCCATAGATTAATTTATCAAAAAACATATATAAAAACAACTTGCAAATAATACGGTATAATCTCTAGGCTCTAGCGTAGTCTAAAACTGCTTAGGTTATTCTAAAATCTGTTGAGCATCAATTTTTCTTTTCCTCGTACAGATTCTTTTTTTTTTGTAATAATGTAAAAAATTTGCATCAATGCGTAAGAAAATCATCAAAATAGTGTAAACAAAGCATGTGAGGTCTCTTTGTGTTTTTTAAATCTTTTAGAGACATAAAGAGTAATATTTAATGCTAGAAAACTAATACAATCAGTTGACACCACAMAAAAARAAAAAAAAAAGTCATTAAAGTACTGTAATGTGTAATGTGTAATGTCTTGTGATTTCTGTAAGTTAATTTAGGAAATTAGATATTTTGACTTTTATTATAAAAGGCCGTAGCATCAGAAACTCTTTTACATAGCTTTTTTCTTCTCTAAAACTGTTCAAAAGAACACTTAGTAGCAAAACCATGGTGTATCCGAGTATTTTGTAGATTGTTGTGGCTGTTGTGCTCACCAAAGTTTTTTTTTGGTTATGGAAAGAAAAGAATCTTCCTCCAGGGAGAATGGGATTCCCAATTGTTGGGGAAACATGGGAGTTTCTCAAACCGGAAGATGTTCTCCAAGTGTCTTCTTTTGTCAGGAGGCGAATGACAAGGTAAAAACTCTAAGAAATTCTTAATAAATGTATTATACATAATCTCGCAATTATAAGGAAAAGCACTCTGTTTTTTCGTGTCTAGGCACGGGAATGTTTTCAGGACTAGTTTGTTTGGACAAAAAGTCATAATCTCGACTGATGTCCGAATAAATCTTGAAATTGCAAAGTCCAACACAGATTCTGCTCTAACCAAGAGTGTCCTGAAGCTCTTTGGGGAGAACAATCTGTTTGTGCAGAGTAAAGCCTCACACAAGCGTGGTCGTAACTTGACATTCCAGCTGTTTGGATCACAGCGTCTCAAATTGACCATGCTACAAGGCATCGATGTCTTGGCTGGAAAGTTCCTCAAGTTAGGTGCCCAAAACGGCAGTTTGGACGTCAAGACAACAGCAAGCAAGGTATATGGAATCGCTTATTGAACTCTATAGATTTGATTTCTTTTATTACTTATATAGTAACAGTTAGCTCTCTTTCTACCTGTAGATCTTAATAGAGTGCCTTGCTAAGAATATCTTGGGCGACATGGATCATGAGTCCCTAACGGAACTGCAGGATTGCTGGAACTTTTTCCCTACAAGTGGATGGTTTCAACTGCCACTGGACATTCCCGGATCGAGGTTTTACCAACTCCTACAGGTGCGTTTTTTTCATGATCCAAGAATTGTCAAGTTTAATTAATATGCATCTAGGTATAATTTCTTTCATGTTTATTACAGGGTAGAAAACGGATGATGAAGGTATTAGGTGACATGGTCTCCATGAAGATAACATCGGGAGAAAGAGTTACTGACTTCATGGAGATCATATTCAATGAAATGGGGTGCCAAGGGGAGAGCAGGAGCAGGAGCGTGGAAAAGGCGGTTGAATACATCTTTAGCTTTTTCATAGTAGCAAGTGAGACAACCCCACGGTTTCTTGCCGCTATACTAAAGCTAGTATCCGGCAATCCAAGGGTCCAGCAAGAGCTGCAGGTTTTGAATTTTAACGTTCTATCATTTTTTTCTGAGTTTTGGAGCAATATATAAACCCAATCCAATCTTGTAGAGGGAGCATTCTGACTTCACTCAAGTGACATGGGAGAACTATAAAGGCATGACTTTCACCCACATGGTAAGACGCTTAAAAGCCACTGCCGATAAGACTTTCACTCATTCATCGGTTATTGCTTGACTAGAATTCGGTTTCACAAAACCAAATCTCCCCGCAGTACACGACTCTTAGTTTTGTTTAATATGAAGCTAAATATGCTGTTTCCAGGTTATTAACGAGGCCCTCCGTATCACCAGCACTGGCCCAACTATATTTAGAAGAACTAGCCAAGACTACCAAGTTGGAGGTAAGTTGTAAATTGAGCAAACCAAATGTATGATTATATGGCGATAACGTAACTGATTTATTGACGCAGGCTATCGAATTCCAAAGGGGTGGATCTTCATGGGGTACCCTCTCGTTCATTTTAACGAACAATACTACGAGAACCCTTTTGAATTTAATCCATGGCGGTGGAAGGTATTCAGCCACTAATTAATGGCTTTCTCTGTTTCAATTTACAACATCAG